AAAGGCTTTGGTTGAGAACCCTAATCGTTTTCCTGCTTAGTGGCTGGACACCCTAGCAGTCCCAGTCCATCAAACACCAATGAATATGTATTGCGATTTTGACAGCGATCAGTGAGGTCTGCTTTTCTGTATTTCGCTGTACGATGATGATGGCAAAAATATCACCAGAAAATTGAAGCACAGCATATATGAGCAGTCATCTGGTTTTTGGATGAAAATCTGAATGAGAACCGGATAGCTTGAGGTGTACGGAGAGAGGCAAGAGAGGCGTGAAAAACCTAAGTAGTGGAGGTAAAATGGGGCTAGTAAAGCGATCACCAAACAGTGAGCTAGAAACCTCAAGTCACAGTTCAGTTTCCGTTTGTACAACCATAAACCACACATTCGTGCGCCGGTTTCGGTTGCTGTCTTTTGGTGCCCATTTGGATGAATATTAGGAAAAGAAAGAAAAGTTGAAAAGAAAATGGAGAAGTTCAGTGGTCTAAGGTTGCAAAGAAATTGACGAGATGCACGAACGCCACTGTTTACGACACCCAGACATATCGCTCAGTGTCCCTAACCATCGGTTACGATCATCCTGAGATCCCCAGCCAGGAAGCCTAACAGGACCTATGTGACCCAGTTTCCTGGTTAGGGTTTTCATACCCTCGTGCCAGGTCATAGCCTGGCCACCTTTGACTTTCTTCCACCCGCTAACTGCCTCGGAAAACATCGCTCGCCGTGGCAACCTATCTGGTGACATACGTAACACATGTCCCAGCCAACGTAATCTATGGAGGTCACTTGCTCCAGTGGGCGACCGCGGATAACCAAAACTCTGCGTCTGACCTCAGCATTGCTCATCCGGCTACCCCACTAGATTCGTGCAATGCTGAGCAGACAGTGGTGTTCAAACACCGACAGTCTGTTTTTATCTTGTTTTCTTAATGGCCAAGTTTCAGCTCCATATAGCAGGACTGGTCGAACTGCCACAGCATACACTCGACCCTTCGCGACGGCGCCACAGATGTCAAATGCCAAGCGAGCCTTCTGTATGCGAGCTGACACTTCATCCGTGATGCGTCCACCGAGTGAGATATAGCTTCCCAAGAAACAGAACTTATCCACTTGCTCTATTACTTCCCCAGTTAGAGTGAGGCTGGGTGCTGGACCAACCCAGTCTTTTAGTGATTTTCTACACTTGAAGGTGCAAAATGCATACTGAATCTGGTTACATCAGCACTCAAACTATTCAGAAAAGCTTGTAATTTATCTGGATCTTCACTTAGTAGCACAATGTCGTCTGCGTACTCCAGATCAGACAGCCTGCCACCTGGAAGTAAATCTATGCCACTATCCTCGCACGAGGATAGGGCTGTCTCCATAATCAGATCTATAACAAAGTAAAATAGGAAAGGAGAAAGAGGGCAACCCTGACGAACACTACTTTCCCTAGTGAACTCGGGCGAAAAACTGCCTTAAGCTTGGGCTCGGCTTCAGCTATTAGTATAAAGCGATCGTAATATTGAAATAAACTTCTCGGGCACACCTTTCAGAAAAAGGCAGCGCCAGAGTTTAGAGCGGTCGACTGAGTCGGAAGCCGCTTTCAGATCTAGGAAGACAGAGATGGTGGGTCTACGAAAAGAATGCCGGTGCTCCAGAATTTGGCGAAAAGTGAAAATGTGGTTGATAAAACCTCGACCAGGTCTAAAGCCAGCCTGGTTCTCACACGTGCACCATTCACGCGCCACTAACCTGCGCTCATGGCAAGCTGCTGAGAGATCCAGAAATCCGCATCATACTCTATCAAGATAAAGTCGTGAAAGTGTTGTGAGAAGTTACTAGGCAGAGCTCAAAGTGGGATCATACGGGTGTGCTCTTTCCAGTCGGCGCCTCCGGTCTTGGTTTATCGTGTGCTCGACAGTTTTCATCAGACCACGTCCAGCAGGATAGTACCAGGGTGTTGGCGTTCTGGTGCACTTCCATCGTCATTGGAGAACCGTGTTGAAAGACGCTTTCTGCTTTGTTGAAACCATTTGCCCAAAAGAGCCATTAAGGTAAAGCCAGTAAATGTGATCGGACGTTTCCCGTTGGCTCACCAGTTACCCAGATTACAGTTCCCTAAAAGGGCTGTCCGATGATGCGGCGCACGAACTCTATTCAGTTATTTAAAGCTGGAACTCGCGTTTGGAGTTTCTGCTTGTCACATTTTGCAACTGTTAGTAGAGATTGTCTCCGATTGACTCTTCTACTAGTAGAGTTGGCGCATAGGTAAAAATGACGGATGTATTAAAAACAACCGTTAAACGTGTAATGGTGATTCTGGGAGAAATTGGTTGCCTTGAAATCAGAAAGTTCTTTGCTCGTTTACCTAGCGCGGAAGCTACGTCATATAACCGTATACTGTAAGTTAGCCCACTGTAATAAAATCACTAGACCGCGTCGGTATCGAGCGTTTTAATTAGCTTCTGTCCTATGTTGTAGAATAGCACTTCCAGTAGGCCACAAATGCCTGCATATAAATTCCAGTGAACTTAATTGATCGTGTTTACTGTGGAGAAAACGGATAAGTTCTGATTCACGATAGTAGAACTTTTGGTTTGTATCCTTTTACAACTGTTTCAACCCCGTTGGGTCTCACTAACGGGCTACTCCATCAGCCGAGAGAAGCATCAACCTCATGGGCAGAACCACCGTATTTGGTGGTGGGCAGCTGCGCTCTTGCCCGGCTCAATAACATGCCAATGGTATGTTTCAATTTCAGTTTCATTTTGAACAACCATTAACCATGCACTTTCGTGCAATGGTATGTATTTAATATATTTCACGCACGTTTGCCGCCAGACTATGTGCCAAACAAATCATGGTAAAATGATCTCTATAAAAAGGAAAAACGTTCCATGGTTTGCATGTGGGCTGAATACTGCTAGGTTGCCCAGGCCCATGCACTTTCTCAAGCGTGCACTGTTCACGTGCAGCCGTAGTAACCTTTAGGTTATCGTTCAAAATCGACAAATTTGATCATTTCCGAACCCCTGGTCATTGCAATTATTCTTTGCAATTCAGTTCCCTGGTGGGGCCTCCGAATCCAGTCTGAAGGAAAATTTTAACTAATGATTGTCGACAATATTAGGACGGGTGCGTTTCGGAAAAAATGGTCCGGAATCGAAAAATTAAAAAACGGATGAACTTAAAACAATCGTGGGAAAGCCATCAGTCGCCAACCCGGAAGGCCGCACAAGAGTGCATTATGCAACCTTTGCAACTGTAGCTATCAAATTCAATTTCAATGAAGCACTGTCATTGAAAGTTTTGTATTCGAACCCAACCCCCTATCACTCTAAACTTCAGGTTGTAAAAGCGGAAAATGAGACCTCAAGATATACCCATTCTAAGACGCAGTATACCTGCAGTTTCATCAAACACATTTTTAGAAAAAAAATGGGTGAATTAATAATATGAAGATACACCGCACATGTCCGTTTGAGAAGAGC